GCGCTCTACCACTTGAGCCACAGCGCCACTTCTGGCTTTTTTCTTTTTGCTTATGTGGTGCTGGGGAATCGAATCCAGAGCCTCAGGCATGCAAGGCAAGCACTCTACCACTGAGCTACCTTCCCAGCCCCTGGCTTTGAACTGCTATCCTCAGACCTGAGCCTCCTGAGTAGCTAAGAATTACAGAAGTGAACCACTGATGCTGGCCCTCTGTTGGTTAATTTTGAGATAAGAGTCTCATGGACTTGCCTACCTAGGCTGGCTTCAAACTGTAATCCTTAGATCTCAGCTTCCTGAGTAGCTAGGATTACAGGTGTGAGTCACTGGTGCCCAGCTTATTCCAATTTTTATTTGTATGGTTTTGTAGAAAAAGTTATATAATGAGAATCTAGCTTCCTCATGAAAACTAATCCACAGGGCTTATTAGAACCTAGCATGAATTGGTAGTAATCATAGTAACTACATGCCTGAGTCCTCCTTAGTGAGCTTTAGTCTGAGACCAGGGCTATCAGTTAGGCTATTCAGAAAAGGATGCTTAGGGAGAACTGGATTTTCTATTTTCTTACCCATTGTTGTCCTCTTTCAGAGTCATCCAGAAATAGGGTTGGTGACAACCCCTGTCAGTCCCACTCCAACTACCCCAGTCACACCACTTGGGACCACACCACCTTCCTCTGATGGTAAGCATATCACTTCTTTTATGTTCTTGATTAATATGATCTTACGTATTTCAGGATAAGCATATCTGGATTAAACAATATATTAATCAGTATAATTAAGAAATTTGTCTAAAGTTGGATATAGTTGGCTCATGCTTGTAATCTTAGCTACTCAGGAAGCTGAGCTCTGAAGATCACAGTTCAAAGCCAGCCCAAGAAGAAAAATCCATGAGACTTGTACCACCAACAAAAAAGCTGAAATCAGAGAAGTGGCTCATGCAGTAGAGTGCTAGCTTGGAGCAAAAAGCTCAGGGACAGCACCTAGGCCCTGAGTTCAAGCCCCAGGACTGGCAAAAAAAAAAAAAAGTCTAAATTGAGCATGGTGAATGTAATCCCAGCTACTCAAGCCTTGTCTGGGCTACATCATAAATTTGAGGCTAGCTTGAGTAAAGAGTTAGCAAGACTGACTTAAAATAAAATTTAAGAAGGTTTAGGGAATATAGCTGGTAGTAGAGTGTTTGCCTGCATAGCATGAATGAAATCTTAGCCTCAATTTCTACAACTCCCTCTTCTGCAGAGACAAGAAGAGCAAGACAGAGAAAGGAAGAGGGAGAAGGAGAAAGAAGTCTATTTGTTAAATCTAGGCATGGTATCATATCTATTCTTAGCACTCAGGAGATTTTGAGACAAGCCCCTGACATATTTGAGACAAGTCTCTGCAATATAAATAGAGAGAAAAAACATGGGGAGAAAAAACTTGTGTATATGTAGTACTAGGACAATACTACAAGAAAACTTGGGAAAAGACATGTTTTTCTTTGTGTAATATGCGATACAACTAGCCTGTGCTGGGGCTGGGAAGGTGGCTCAGTGGTAGAGCGCATGCCTTGCATGCCTGAGGCCCTGGGTTTGATTCCTCAGCACCACATAAGCAAAAAGAAAAAAGCCGGAAGTGGTGTTGTGGCTCAAGTGGTAGAGCACTAGCCTTGAGCTGAAGAGCTGAGGGACAGTGCCCAGGCCCAGAGTTCAGGCCCCAGGTCCGGACTCCCAGAAAAAAAGCAAAACAAAAAAACAAAACAAAAAACTAGCCTGTGCTCCCTCAAATAATAGTCTTAGAGGGGTCTTAGAATCATGGAGTGCTAGTCTGAAAGGAATCTCAAAGTTTGGTAATGCCTAACCTACCATACTTCCAGCGTACCTGTGGAGCTCAGCTGAGATATTTTATGAAAATATTAAAAAAGGGGCTGGGAAGGTGGCTCAGTGGTAGAGCGCTTGCCTTGCATGCACGAGGCCCTGGGTTCGATTCCTCAGCACATATAAGCAAAAAGAAAAAAGCCGGAAGTGGTGCTGTGGCTCAAGTGGTAGAGCGCTAGC